TACTATTAAGGGTGTAAATCAGAGTGCCTCCTCTATCACGTAAAACGGATGTTAATATAGAGTCAAAATGTATGAACTATCATACCGAATTAACGCGTTTAATTGTTCCAAATATAACTGATAAGCTTCCAAGCAAAACATTTCACATTAGTCATATTAATCTGCCGGAAGGTATAACATAACCCTTGCCGATAATACATTCAATGAGAGTAGCGAAGTCGACATGCTGATAGGAGCCGAATTATTTTGGAAGATATTGTGTGTCGGACAAATTAAGTTAGGGCAAGCAACTTTGCAAAAAACAAAATTCGGCTAGATAGCAACAGGAAACATTCCACCCTTTGAAGCTCCGGAGGTAACGCTTTCAATGACGTCACAAGAATTTTTCGAAAACAACCAACAATTAAAGCAGGTTTGGGGTGACTCAGGCATTCCATTAAGTAAAGACGAACTTGCATGCGAAACATCTTTATGACCACTCACAAAAGAAACGCTCAAGGCCGTTTTATTGTTGAAATACCGTTTAGGCAAAACCCAAGAAACTTCCAAATTCATATGATATCGCACTAACTCGTTTTCGTGCTTTAGAAGACAGATTTAGGAATCACCCCCAATTGCAAACCGATTACAAGTATTGTTTACCTTTAACTTTTGTATGTATAATAGTGTTTAATAAATATGGTTTGTTCTCAAGAAGTTTATTTACTATCATAAACAATAACAGCTAATACATTTAACAAGCCGGTTAAAACTTTCCAATGAAAATTGGCCAGTCAACTGCGGCTCCATCGAAGAAAGGTAACTCCATCATCACGTCTTTCAGTGCTGCTATTAGGCCGTTAATAGGATTACCGTTAGAACTCAGCTCGTTGGTAAATCTCACCCTTTGCTGATGTACTCCACCATTGGCTTTATTTAAAATTTCTCCGAGTGGGTTCGAGGTAGGTGGACAAAAAACTGGGATTTGAGGACGCTCGTTGAACGTTTGACTTTCACCACAGGTTTGTTTAACCTCTTGCGCCCATTCAGTAACGTAATCATTTTCCTCCTTTTGCAAGTCCTCAACCGTATTTTCACCGGCCCCATGAACAGATACCGCATTCTGGAATTCTTTTTCTTCGTTCACATAGATTTGAATATCTTCTCTCTGGAGTTCATACATCCTTCTAGCGAGCTCGCATTCAGGTTCGTATTCTTTGCGTACACGTCGAAGTTCCAACTTCTTACGGGCAATTCCGTATTACATTGTTTTGGCGTCGTTTTAACATCGGCTCGTGGTAGACTTATGTTGAGGTCAGAAATTGAATCTTCCGGCTTTGCAGCAAATCAGTGTATTTGAATTCCAGGTTCAGCAGCTTGGATTTATAACCGTTTTCTAGCTTACGGAATCTGGCATTCGCTGACATCTAAGACGCGTGACTTGGACAATAAAGTTGCCATTCGTGTGATTGGCAACTGATCTGCTGCTCTCACCGATCCTGACGTTACTTCCGGTTATACAGCAACGGGGTTTTCACGATCCACGAATGGTGAACTTGGCACTGCCGTTGATTGCACGCCTAACGCATCATAGGTTAGCTTGTTATGCGCAATAACTTTCCTTTTGTCGGCCATCTTGACTGGTGACTTTCCAGTACTGACGTCCAGCAACGCATTAGACTAATGTGTAACTGCCCTGTTTTTTAAAGAAAAGGATATACCGTGAGAAAGTGCCATATTCAGCTCTTCCACAACAACTGAAAGTTCAGCTTCGGGGATTAAAATCAGCGCAACGGGAGATTCGTCATTTGCGAGTGACGGTGGCAACTTTAAACGCGGAGAGGATTGCCACACAAGATATTATTACCAGAGTCCGTGCAATTAGGCAACTAGCTGACTGGTATACTGAAAAGGATCCCGGTAACAGCATTGGGCTTCTATGTACGTATGCCCGTTCAATATGAGACAACGCTTCCAGGGAAGTAGAATAGCAATGTATGTACGGGACCAGGAAGTGACGTCACAGCGAATGGTAGACGAGGGTTTAGTCACGTGGGTACGAGTGGGCCAATGGTATTGTAGATGGCGGACATGTTGTGACGTATGTCGGGGCTGGTATCATGTGGGTGTGTGTTAGATAAATAGCATAAAGATGGCGTGCATTTTGTAACATATGTATAAGAGATGGCGCCTCTGGGATGGTTGTATGCTATGAGGACGTAATGCTGTTTGTCTACCTGATCGGCGGTGCGTAGGGGTCGGTTGGTGACGTGAGGGGGGGGGTTGACTTGTTTGCTTGCGGGGGTTTACAATGTATAAGAGGTGGAGGAGGAAAATAACTCTACAAATAGCGTTAATTGTTTATTTCAACATGATGCGTATTTAGATCTAGGAACGAATAAAATTAGAAGAGCATGAAGCAATTTATTCACCTCGAATACACTGCATACAGTGTGGCATTATAGGAGCAGGTCCATCAATATGAATTCGCTGCCACGGTTGGTTCCAATGTTTTTTTACCAATACAATGAGCATTAAATTGCTTTATTTAAATTTTAGCATAGTTATTTAAATCTGTAAACAAATAAAATTAGAAATTGACTTTAAAGATCAAATTAAGCACTTACGTATGTGACCCAAATCATGTTTGGTAATTGTTGGTCTCGATATACGCCGTAGAGGAGGCCTTTAAAGAAGCCTCCTCCCAACCGGATCGTTTCAGGTACGTCTCCAGCGCACTCGACAATAACCACATCATCCTACGAGCAATTTTTTTTACTAAATAAGATATTTAAAAAAAAAAAAAAATAGATGTAAATGGCTTACATTAGGATATTTTCCTTGAAAATGATTGAGTAATTCTCGCTCTAAACGTTAAAGTTATTTAAAAATACATAGTTCATAATAATATATTGATCACCTGCTGGAGACTGCCTTCTGTCTCCACATGACATTTTCTTTAAAAAAGCAGCTTGTTCTGCAAGAAGGGCGTTTTCAAATAAAAATGTATTAGGAGTTTGGTACTTACCACTCATTGTAAAAGCAAGGTGATTAATGTTATTTTTCCGTTGCTATGAAAAACAAGACTATTATCAATACCGAGGTTTGTGGTTTGGCTATTCATGTCATAGAAATGATAAAGAAGGCGGGATGCACTATCATTGAAAATATTTTGCGTGCATAAGGTAGGCACCTAATAATGATGAAAGGTACGCAGCCGTGTTACAAATGCAATAAGTTCTTTTGTTTCTGCAAACGATCCATTGCCATCCATCCTATAGAAACGCATAATGATGATGCTGATTCCTTATTATTGTTGTGCGACGAAATTCTACCGCCGCCAACACCATCTGCGATAGAGACACCTCGAAAACATGCAGACCAAGGTAAACCAATATCAATAATCGAAAATATACTAACCCAAACCACAACCAAGCTGATAATCTTATTTTAAAGAAGATGGGCAGCCAATAAATACACGGGAATACTACGAATTAAGATCAGTGATTGGTAAACGGCAGAGAAATCAATAGCCCTTCCCAGCGCTTAGGACATATAAATTTGGGTGAGTACGTTCTACTATAAAGTTACAAACCTAAATTCTCACATTTCATTGTAGGGCAAATTAATTAATTAATTAATTAATTAACATGGATCTACTAGTCAATGAGCTTACTTCATTGGGTGAATGCAATTGGAAACCAGTTTTGAAAATCAGCGATATGCAAATTGGGGAAAAATACAAGTTGTGCGGCATTAAAGCAGTCCAAACGCATAAATATGGACGAAAAATAGTAGTGGAAACGGATACTCATAGTATTTTTCTTCCAGAACGTTTTTCAAAAGCATACTCGGATGCGAAAATTAAAGAAATCGTAGGAAGCATTAATAGAATGGCTTTGATTTTCCTAGGAGAAGTCAATATAGGTAAAAAGAATAGTTTGCTAAAAATATCTTTTACCGATGCTTAGGAAATCATACTAGGTTAGAATCTAATTATTATTTAGCCACCTTCAGTGTTTTATTTTGTATACTTTATTTTAATTAATTTGTTTCAGTAATTTATATGTATATTATTATTAGCCACCTGAGTGTTTTTTATTTTGTAAAAGAGACATGTACATGTTAATTAATTAATTGATTTGCTCCTGTAATCTATACGCCTATTATAGTAAATATAATTGTTTTGCTAATATCTCAATATCTCTTATGTCATTATCCGTTTTAGCATCATGCATCCAGAATTCAATCGAGTGGATGACATGCAAGAAGCCCTTCTGGCAAAAAAGGCCTCAATCACATTCAGAGGCAGACCTTATATAATTAATATTAATGAGATGCTTCAGGGTGATTGGTATTATGAAAAAAGATCCAGTCCAACTTCTCTTCAACGTTTATGTCAGAGAATAATCCTAAATGATAATCTATCATGGGCACATTTGCCTCATACTTTGTTACAGCAGTTGCATGCATTCCATTGTAAGCGTGCACAGCTTAAGCAACAACTTGTACATTTTAAATGGGATGTCATGACCCTTTGCGAAATGTATGATGACTGTTCATTGGATTACTATCATTTCACACAAAGGTATGATTGCATTCAGGATATGCGTAGGGATTTTGAGATAGAAGATGAAACTATCTTATATCGCGAATCTCTTCGAGCAAGGGAAATCTATAATCAAATATGTGCTAAAATTACAAACCTTAATTTCTTTGAAAATGTGTATAAAGATAAATTACGGGAACTTATCAATGCTTACCAAAATTTATTGTATGTATAGATTTTTTTTTGTTAGAATGACGATTATAAATGTCTTCATTATGCATCCTATATGAAACTATTAAACTAGCAATATTTTCAATTGTAAAAATAGACATTGAAGCAGTGAAGTATGCGGTTTATTCCTTCCCTCTCTTCCACTAGGTAAACCATTTTCATACGAAAGCAGAAGCACCATCCACACTTGTACCAGCACACATACAGCAGCATTGCTTTGTGAAGCTAAGAAGAAAGAACAATGCTAGAAGATTTTGTTAAAAACATCAATTTAACGCTCCAAATGCTCGAGCATTTCTATAAAAACTTTGCTCATGATGATGCGAAAAAAGTCGCGAAATTTATTACAATCATCGATAGCAACCTTAAACAGATAAAATCGACTATTGCGGCTAGTACTTTCACGTTTTCCACTGGAGAGAAAAGACAACTTGCAACGCTCGCAGGTAAACTGGAACGCTATAAGTGCCTTCTGAAGCAGCAGCAGCAAAAACAAGAACAAGGAGCACCATCCGGATCGTCGCTTGGTCGTCTCCATAATCGAGAAGAAGTCGAATGGAGAGATTTGGCTACGGCCTTTAAGTCGAGGGTGAGCTCAAGTATTATAATTAATTGCGGCCATAAAACGCTTGGCACATTTTTTAGCGATAGTTTTAGATTATTTTCAAGTAAGATTGTAGGCATTTTTAATAGATATAATCAACCTTTAAAGGTGAATTTTGAATTTTGCGCTGAATTTGTTAAGCCATGCGTAAATAACAATGATAGTGAAAATAATTTAGTATCTAAGGAATTTAGTTTTAACACAAAAAATTTTAGCATTTTGGCCTGTGACTTGAATAAGACAAATTTAAAAAAATTATTTAATGTCAACGTAGTTGATAATCTCATGAATCGTCTGCTCCAATTCGAAGAACAGGAAAGTGGTTGGGCGTTATCCAAAATAATTTCGTTAACTGTGAATGTTAACACCATGACTTTAATAAGGGCATCATCATATATCGATTTACCGAATGAAATTAAAGCCAAACAGGCTATCATTAACGTTAAAAACAACGACGAAGCCTGTTTTGGATGGGCATTATCCTCAGCTCTTTTTCCTGCTGCCCGCCACTCCGATCGTGTTTCTTCTTATCCTTACTATGGCCAAATTTTAAACTTTGAGGGTATTAATTTTCCCGTGTCATTACCTCAAATTCCCAAATTCGAAAAACAAAACCCAGATTTATCTATAAACGTGTACGGTCTAATTCGAAAATCGGTTAGCAATTACGTTACCGTTCCACTATATTTATCCAAAGATAAAAAAGAGCAGCATGTAAATTTATTAATGATTCAAGACGACTATGAAATCGATAGGAACGATCTTGATGATGCTTATAACGTTGATAAGTGTCAAGATAAAACCATAAGATTCCACTATTGCTGGATTAAAAATTTATCTAGGTTGGTGCATTCACAGTTAACGAAGCATGATAGGAAACTGTATATTTGTGATAGATGTTTACACTATTTCAACTCTCAGGCGAAATTAGATAATCATGAGTTGGATTGTAGGAAAATGAATAAATGTAAATTGAATACGCCAAAGCCGGGCACCACCATCAGTTTTAAAGACTATCAATTTAAACAGACCGCTCCATTCGTTATGTATTGCGACTTGGAATGTTTAGTTAGTGATTTTCAGGAAGGCGAGACACGCGACACGGTTAAATATAAAGAACATAAAGTCTGTAGCATCGCATATTATCTCCACTGTACATTTAACAACTCTTTATCGAAACTTCGGATGAAGAGGGGAGAGGATTGTATTAATTGGTTCACAACCGAATTAGGCGAAATTGCCAGTACTTTGCAACAATATTTCGATAATCCCATGCCAATGGAACCATTAAGCGATATGCAAATGCTAGCGTTTAATGCGGCCACTCATTGCCACATTTGCCAAGGTCAAATATCAGAGGATGAGGTCAAGGTCAAAGAACACTGCCATTTTTCAGGAAAATGGAGGGGGGCAGCTCACCAGGTATGCAACCTTCAGTATAAGGCCCCCCACATGATCCCCATATTTTTTCATAATTTTAGCGGGTATGATAGCCATTTTATTATAAAAGACCTTGCTCAAGCTATTCCCGGTAAAGTTACACTGCTACCAAAAAATAAGGAACGATACATTTCTTTTACTAAATATATGATAGATACGAACGTGGAATTCAGATTCGTAGATTCCTTTCGCTTCATGAACGAATCTTTAGACAAATTATCATCCTATTTAAAATTTGACGATTTTAAAATTTTGCGCGCCACGTTAAACCATTTAAGTGAAGAGCAGTTAAAGTTGTTGACTAAAAAAGGCGTTTATCCTTATGAATACATGGATGATTGGATGAAATTCTCAGAAACGGCGCTTCCCGCTAAAGAGCAATTTTACAGCAAATTAACGCAATCGCACATCTCATATACTGAGTACACGCATGCGCAAAACGTTTGGCAAAATTTTAATATTCAAAATTTAGGGGAATATAGCGATCTCTATCTGGTGACGGATGTACTATTGCTAAGTGACGTTTTTACTAATTTTCGAGAAAAGTGCATTACGACGCATAAACTAGAGCCTGCATTCTTTTATACTGCTCCGGGGTACACATGGCAAAGCATGCTCAACTATACAAAGGTAAAATTAGACCTTTTATCCGATATAGATATGATACTATTCGTGGAAAAGGGTATAAGAGGTGGAATAACCCAGTGCTGTACAAAATACAGTAAGGCTAATAATAAGTATATGGAAAATTATTTTGCAGGGAAGCCTTCCTCTCATATCCTTTACACAGATATGGTTAATTTGTATGGATGGGCCCAAAGCCAGTGTTTACCGCAAAATAACTTTAAATGGCTTAGCGATGCGAAATTAAAATCACTAACACCTGAAGTGATTTCGAATATATCGGATGATGCCGGTCAAGGCCTTATATTGGAGGTGGATTTATCATATCCACAGCATTTGCATAATCGCCATAAGTATATTCCATTTTGCGTTGAGCATGACACTCCACCTGGTGGTAAAAATAAGAAACTGCTCGCAACCTTAGAATCTAAAACTAAATACGTGATTCATTATCGTAATTTGAAACAATGCCTTCAAGTAGGGCTTGTGCTTGAAAAAGTTCACCGCGCGATAAGTTTCAACCAGTCTCGTTGGCTTAAACCGTATATAGATTTAAATACGAGGTTGCGAGCGCAGGCCAATAATCCGTTTGAAAAGAATTTGTACAAGTTGCTAAACAACGCAAATTTTGGAAAAACCATGGAGAATGTGAGAAACCATAGAATTATCAAGCTGATTACTCGCTGGAGCGGTCGGTATGGAGCTAATTATTACATCTCCCAGCCGAATTTCCATAGTAGGGAGATTTTCGATGAGGAATTAATGGCAATCGAATTATCCAAGGTCGAAATCATCATGAATAAACCTCTCTATGTTGGGATGGCTATTCTAGATATTTCTAAAACCTTAATGTACGACTTTCATTACAATTTTATGCAGCAACAGTTTGCAGATGATTGTATGAAAGTCTTGTACATGGATACTGATAGTCTTGTATATGAGGTAATATGTGACGACGTATACGATGTGATTCGAAACAATATTGAGCGGTTTGATACATCCGATTTTCCCGAAGAAAACGAGTTTAACATTCCAAGACGTAATGCTAAGGTGATAGGTCTAATGAAAGATGAAATGAGCGGTAAAGTGATTACCGAGTGGACGGCTTTGGCATCGAAAATGTATAGTTTTAAGACCAGAGACTGTGATATTAAGAAATTAAAAGGTGTTAAGGCTAATATTGTAAAAAATAGAATTAGTTTCAAAGATTACTTAAATTGTTTAAGAAGCGGAAATGTTAAAATTATCTCTCAAAGCAACATAATATCAAAAAGTCATAAAGTATATAGTGTGGAGCAATCTAAAGTAGCGTTGCGCAATAACGATGACAAGAGGTATACACTACCTAATGGAATCGATACGCTACCTTGGGGACATTGTGATATTCCCATCCAAATGGAATTAGAATAAGCATTTGGTATTTATTTATTGATATATATTTGTAAATACATGAACTATTACACGAAATCTGATTTATTAATCCAAGAGTCATGCGATTTGTCCATGCCAAGCCATCGAACGTAAAGTTGGTCTCCTTTACGCCTCAAAATTTTCTCAACGAGAAAGACATCCGGATGAGCGGTTTTCTGTAATTCTTCCGCGTAGAATTGACCCATTATCGGTTTGCCTACTAAATCCTCTAATAGATATGTAACGGGTTTGCCAACCTTCACCACAACAACTTTAAATAGTTCCGTTGAAAAGTTCGGAGTATAACCTTTTGAAAATACGGATTTATATTTTGAAATTCTAACAAAGTCACCAATTTTAAATTTCGCGGGGCCCATTAATTTTATGTTGTGGAACATCGGCAAATAGGTTTTAGAGGTTACATCAATGGGTTTCATTTTAATCGTGGAATGTCTTGTATTGTTATATTTTGAAGTCGCATCCGATAACACATCGATCCACTTATATTTACCTCGAAGACTAAATGTCTTGTATAAGACACTTTTCAACGTTCTTATCGTCCTTTCAACTATAGCGGCCTTTTTCACACTATATGTAGAGTAATGATTTATCACATGTGTTTTCATTAATCTTGCAAAATCCTTATTATAGAATTCCTTTCCTTGATCAGTTTGCAAATTGGTTGGAATTCTTCCTTCTTTCAAAATGGAGGTCATAGCCTTACACACTTCACTCGCATTCTTTGATTTTAAAGGTCGTGTCCAGAGATACTTTGAATAGCAGTCTATTACTGTCAGCACGTATTTATTTCCTCTGTTATCTTTAGAGTACTGTGTGAATTCAGCCAAATCTGCCTGCCATAAATCATCACGATGTTTAATAATGGTTCGTTTTCGAGGAAAATTTTTTCGAGCGGGCTTATGCAACTCTTCGACAACCTCAAGCTTTGACATCTTACAATTAACTCGCGAGCTAATCTGAAACTAGTCCGGTTCAATGGTATCCTTCATCATGATATCAGAAAGACGTTTTTTCTCCAAATATTCTGCTCTTTCAAAGAAGTCCATTTGCCTTTCGTCAAATTGAAGATTTTTGCCTATTTCCTTCTCCAACGCCTCTAGATAGTTCTTATGTCCATTCAAAATTTTCATAATTGTATTTACATGCATTGCAAGGAAACCTTTTGATACTGCATCATCATCTGCCACCGGATCGGCAATCTGTCTTAAACGATGGCCTTCCATATTATATCGATTCATTTGGCGCTTAGCATTCAGTTCACTAATGCACCTATCCACATATTGCTTAGTTGCGACATCATCATCTCGATGCGGATCGATAACGTTACAAATTCTTTTGTTTTGCATATTATAATCACCGTCTGCGGTTAGACTCAATTTCGGAGCGCTATCACCCTCATCGAAGGTTTTATTTCTCGAAGACGAGTGACGTCCAAACTTGTCGACGCTCATTGTTACACTAAGCGATTATACCTTCTTCTCGGAGCTCCTCTTCAATGCTTAAAATCTCGTTGTTGTGTCCGGTATGACCGGCTGCTTGCGATGCGTGTAACAGTCTGAGACGCTCGACTAATTCGTGGGGAGTATTCCAATACACATATTCCTTTTGTTTATTGTTAGCCTCTTTCATACCTGTTCCAAAGTGTTGTGATATTAGCGGTTTAAGGATCTTGCGATATTTAATCGATTTGGTGCCGACAATCTGATGACCTGGATCGTAATTCCGTCGGTAGGCATTAGTGAGTTCTAAAATTTTCTTATACACTTGTCCATCTTTGAAGGAAAATCCTTCGGGTTTTTTCAGCACAAGCAATTCATAGAGCCCTGGAGTGCCTTCATAGATTTTATCCTTTATTATTAAATTAGGTCCGTCAAATTCCACTGTAGAGTCTCCAATTGCCCATTGATTAAAATTAGCATCATATCGAAGACCATAAACGTGATCGATGTCGCCTTTCGTATCTTTAATCATTCGATCGATATATTGGCGCGGCAAATAATGATACTGATCCAGAAATTGTTGAGCGGTATCTTCACTATCGAGTAATTGTGATAAATTAATCGTTCCAGTAGTATCCTCATCTTCTTCCTCATTATCATACGCTATGTTACTAATCTCATCCGCTTTGATAAAATTAAGTCGTTTAGCAGCCGGGATTGCTGCATTTTCAGAGCGCTGAGGTGTTGCGAACTGTTCTTCTTCTTGAATTGGAGTAGATTCATATTCGATTTTATGTTCAACTTTCGGTAACAGTTCAGATGCTTTGGGTTCATGCTTAGCTATCTTTTTAAGTGGTTCCACAATTGGTTTATATGTTGTTTCAACCAAGCGTTGAGTTTCAAGCTCACCTCTTTTAAGAGCCGCAAGCTTGCGTTTTATTTCGCTACGAGTTTTAGTTAATTTTCTTTTAATAGCCTGATCTTGAGCGTTCATCTTAGCGGCCTGCATACAACCAACTAAACTGATTATCGATGTAAAGTGGTTCTAATAGCGGTCCAAAGGCGGTTCATATTGGTACAAAAAAGGTTCGTAGACATCAATAGGCGGTTCATAGCGGTCCAACATCGATTCACAGCTGTCCAAACCGGTTCAAAGCAGTTCGAAAGCGGTTCATAAGCGGTTCAGAGGCGGTCCAACATCGGTTCAAAGCTGCCCACACCGGTTCAAAGTTGTCCAACTGTGATATAGCAATCAAAACCTCGTCGATATCGGCCATAATCAAAGTCCTTTACAATACACATGAAATCATGCTTATTCATCCAACACTTTGAGCCCATTAATTTAAACTGCTCAAAGGTCATATCGCTACCAACATGCTCATCATATACATGTTTTAAATTTATATAGTCTTGTTTAAATAGAACAATAACGTTTACATTATCGCGTATTAACTGCTTAGGTATTTTGGAATATGTCTGGCAAAGATAGAACGAGTCCACACCGGAATGTCGCCCTCTGCAGAAGTAATCTCTAATCACGTCTTGATTTAGACAGGCAACATCGTCAAATATCATTATCGAATTTTTGCTAATCTCCTCTAGAGTTATTACATCATCCTTATCACTATAAGCATTATACTTAATGCCTTTAATCGGTTTAAGTACTTGTTCCAGATATTTATACTTTGGCTGCTCTAACGACTTGGAGTATACATATACATTTTCAAACTTCAGACCATGCGGCTCTTCTAATAAACTTACCATCAGGTTTGTTTTGCCGCATGCTGATGGACCACAAATTACAGCTCTAATCGATGCCGGGAGTAGAGGTCCATGTTTTCCCACTACTTTAGATTCCGAAATATCATGGTTGTCAACACTAAACTGATGAGGTTGCATAGTAAACTTCATTATTACTTAGTGCCTTGAATCATACTGATCAGTAGATGGCTGACCATCGTTTAGGAAGGGGATTTGTAAACAGTTTGATAAATAAATTGCCAGTAGAACTCCATATTCCCGGATATCAGTATTGTGGACCCGGAACCAAATTGCAGCAACGCTTGATTCGTGGTGACCCCGGAATAAATCCGTTGGATGCTGCATGCAAACAACACGACATTGCGTACGGTAAATTTAAGGACGTTGAGAACCGCCATCGAGCCGATAAAGAACTTCAAACACAAGCTTGGAATCGTGTAAAAGCGAGCGACTCAAGTTTCGGAGAGAAAGCTGCTGCGTTATCCGTTGCGGGCGCAATGAAGGTCAAAAGGAAGCTTGGCATGGGAGCAACACGACGTATCGCAAAGCGCGGGAAAAAGAAGAAGACTTGTTCGTTTAGAGGAGGAGTTTTATCGGTAGCTCGAAATGCGATAAACGATATTAAGGATACGAATATTAAGAAACTGATAAACATAAGTTTAGCGGCAGCTAAAAAAGCGGTTAAAGTTGTGGGTGGTAAGAAAAAAGTGCGAGTGCCTCGAGTTATACCGATACCCAAAGTTGGTGGATTCCTTCCCTTCTTGATACCGCTATTCGCAGGTCTATCGGCAGCAGGCGCATTAGCTGGTGGGGTTAGCGGTATAGCTAAAGCGGTAAACGATGCATCGGTGGCTAAAAAGCAGTTGGAGGAAAATCAACGTCATAATGCCACAATGGAGGCTGTAGCGTTGGGTAAAAAAGGAAGCTCACTATACCTTAAACCTCGCAAAAAAGGTTTCGCATTGTATTTAAAACCGTATCCGTCAAAAAACTTATAGACTTGCCTCGGAAAGCGTTATCAGACTCAGATCTACTAAGGTATGCTAAAGATGTGCCCTTCTTTCGAGGAGTTTTTATGCGCAATGCATTACCAAGCAAACCTCATGTAAACGAATGTGCTATCGTAAACCTAGATGATGCCAAAGGAAGAGGTACGCATTGGGTTGCTTTTAAGAAACGTGGCAAGAAGGCGGTTTACTATGACAGCTTCGGTAACTTGTCGCCTCCACTCGAAGTAGTTAGATACTTAAGAGGATGTGCAATTACTTATAATTATGATAGAGAACAAGCATACAATACATTAATATGTGGTCATTTATGTTTAAATTTTCTGTACAATAAATAATTTCATAAAACGTTCTTTTGTTTCACTTTCCTTGCAGTCATGTCGCAGACGTTCACCTTGACAGGTGTGGGCAACGTTCTCACCAGTACCTACTTTCCTCCGATCGAACTAGATCGCAATTATCAATACGGATTGGGATTAGTTGGCTTCTACGGATGTAATTCAATTCAAAATATATTTGAAGGTAACAACAAGTTTTACTATGAGGGTATCAATGACGGCATCCCCAAAGAGATCACCATTCCAAGCGGTGCGTACGAAATTGAAGAGATTAACAGAATTTTACAGAAACGCATCAATGAACCTAACAATTCGTTAGACTTTATACTAAGGCCCAATAATAATACGTTGAAGTGTGAAATGAAGACCATTTACAACGTTGATTTTTCTCGGTCTGATTCTATTGGGCGCATGCTCGGATTTTCTCCTAAATTATATAAAGGGGGCGGTAAAATTCACGAATCCGATCTAGATGTTCAAATCGTCAACGCCACCAATATACATGTAGAGTGTAATGTAACCGGTGGAGCATACAGAAACAACGTGCTATCTCATACCATTTTTGAATTTGATGTCCACGTTGAGCCTGGATATAAGTTGGTGAAAGAGCCTGCCACCATAATCTATTTGCCTGTGCTCGTGCATCAGATAGATAACATAACCTTGCGGTTGGTCGATCAAGACGGAGAACTAGTCAATTTTGGTGAGGAGAGAGTAACTATTCGATTGGAGCTAAAAAAGTATGGGTCTTCAAATTTTTTATAAGAAGGGTTTTTCGCTCAGTCATATTTCGTCCGCTAACAAGGACACTAGTGATTACGGCTACTTAACAGAAAGCGATATACAGTTTTTACAACAGCTCGGTTATAAAGTGCTCCGTAGACATGGAAGAAGCTTTAAAAACCCTATTCACCGGTGTAAAGTATGAAGATATGATTATTGAATGTGATCGACGTACTTACCATCCTTACACGACAAACGCTTATGGTAACTCCGATGAGATCAATCTCGTCATACAGAAAGCGGATCTCATCACAGCCACCTATGATAGCGTTATATACTTAGAAGGAACGCTTAATCCGACTACCGCAAATAAAGATTACGATTTCACCAACAACGCACCGCTCTTTCTCTTCGACGAAATTAGATTTATTTTGGGCGATCAGGTGATAGAAACTGTTCGATTACCCGGAATAAACAGCACCATCAAGGGGTTTTGCTCATACACGCCGGATCAAAGCAGATGCTTATCGCATGCAGGCTGGAGCCCTTCCGGGCCTCCTCAGATACTAAATAGCACGAAGACGACTTTCTGCGCTTCCATACCCCTAAAGCATGTACTCGGGTTTGCCGAAGGATACAGGAAGCCTCTAGTCAACATACGCCAAGAGCTGATATTAATTCGTTCCAAGAACGATAGCGATTGCTATAAAGGCGAGACTGAAGTTAAGATTAATCTTACGAAGGTAACATGGAAGGTTCCGTACGTAATTCCGAACGATGCAATGAAGTTGTCGATCTACGGAAGGATTAACAAGAATTCACCGATACAAGTGGCATTTCATGCTCGAGACCTTTACGTATACCCGACCTTACCTAGCACCAGATCGTTGGTTTGGTCGGTAAAAAGCAGCACTGGTTTTCAACGCCCACAATGGCTACTGATCGCTTTCCAAACTAGGAAGCGAAATAACAAAGAGGCAGATGCGAGCAAGTTTAATCATTTAAGCATTTCCAATATAAAAGCAAACATTAACAACCGAAGATATCCGTATGAGCAACAAAATCTAGCATTTACCGATAACAAATATGTGGATGCCTATGAAGAGTATTTAAACTTTCGATCTCAATACTACGGTTCGGAGCACGTGGGCTCTCTTCTAAGTTATAAAGAATTTGAAAACCAAACGATCTTCATCATAAATTGTACGAGACAAAACGAAAGCGTTCACAATGTGGTGGTTGATTTAAAGGTGGAAGTTGAAGCATCGTCGGCATTTCCGGATGAAACTATCGCTTATTGCGTAATTTTGCATGATGTGTTAATTGAATATGAACCCTTCACTAGTATTGTACGCAAGATTTAATATACTTTATGTATTTCTTAAATAAAGATTATATTTGGAAATCAAGGCGATATATTAATTTTATTGCATCGTGAATTTCACATCAGTATGCGTTCTACAGTCATGAAGGTTGTTAGTAGCATAGTTTTTGCAGCAATCTGCATCTTTAGTGTGAGTTCGAATAATAGTCCAAGTCCAATTACTAGTGATGATAATGATGTTGATGAAGAAAATATTAATTTAAGTATTGCGAATAATTTCCTATCCAAATACGGATACATGCCAAAAGTTTCGGAAGGTGCATCACATGTAGAGTTTAAACCTTCGGTCAAGAAAGCCTTAAACGCATTTCAAGAATATTACAAGCTACCTACGGATGAAGAATCTATTGATGACACTTTTGCGTTTATGATGAGACCTAGATGCGGAAACGAAGATATTTTGAGCTCCTATTCGGTAGCACCCTATAAATGGGAAAAGAAAACAATATATTATTATCTTGCATATAGTGATTATCGAGCGCTAGCCCGCACTAGAGAAGCTTTCCAAACTTGGGGAAGATATGCAAATTTAAAATTTGCGTATAAAACTTCTGGATATGATATATTAATAACATTTCAAAACCTCAATCATTCGATGTATTTAAATCCCCATTCCGCATGTCAACGGACCTTAGACGGTCGAGGTGGCGAACTAGCACATGCCAACTTTCCAACACGCAGTCAGACTCCGATAGAAATACATATGGATTGGGGTGAGGCATGGTACTTTGAGGATTCAAATATACCGCCTGCAGATTCAACTAGCTACTATTCGGTTTTAGTTCATGAAATAGGTCATGCACTGGGATTAGAACATTCGAAGGATGAAGATGCGATTATGTTTCCCTATATAACTCGCGATAAGCGTGATTTGAGCGTTGATGATATCATAGGTATACAGAAGCTATATCCCAATGAAGAAGATACAACTACTTCTACTACTACAAAAACTACAAGTACCACTGTTGATACTACTCTGAAGAAAAAACAAGTGTCATCTAGTGACCCACCCGATTTATGTGCAATTCAAGTGGAACACTTTTTAATTTTAAACAAACGAATTTATATGTTTTACAAACATTGGGTGTGGATATCAGCTCTAGGTAGTAATTACATTGAGACCGCGAGGAATTTATTTGAATGGCTGCCGTTCCTTCCGAAATCTTTCAAACGTTTCGAAGCGATATATCAGAAACCTAATAGTGACATTATATTCTTTAGCGGAGGGCAAATTTACATAGTGCAGTTCCCTAGTTTACAATTGCTAGCAGGATGGCCTCAGCCCTATCATCGATTTGGGATCCCAGGTGCAGTGAACGCTGCATTTAACACTTATTCTGGACGCACACTTATTTACCATGGCTCGAACGAAGTGATCGAGTTTGATGATTGCAATAATAAACCGAAGAATCGATTGATATACACCCAAACATTTCCTTACATGCCTAACAAATTGACATCCGTGTTTAAATATATTGATGGTTATCTCTACTTTATTGATAACAACAATAAATTTTATAAATATAGTGAATTTTCGGAGCAGGTGACTCAAACAGGAATCCTGGATTTATCTTTATTTAAGATTCATTGCGCTAATAAGGGGCTACTAGAACAGCTTTATGATGTATTATCTAATCTCATCAAATTTGATAAGCATGTTAAACCTTATTTACAACCTAGACGTAATTAGTCTAAATGTATTGATTGGTTGATAAACGAAATAAATAGCACATATTTAATCAAGCTCTTTTATTGTTTTTCATTAGCATTTTATCTGTTACATCGTTTACAAATCTTTGAGGGTGAATATTTATAATTTCTGTCAAAAAAGAAAAATCTGTTAAACATTGCCGAGAAAGTAACTTTTTTAATAACTTAAGATTTTGACAGAAAAATTTTCCTCTTGCCAAAATATTTTCTTCGTCGTACAGCCCATCCGAGCACAGAGCATCCGCTACTTCACTCATAAAGTCTTCATAGTGCCAGTACATCGCATAATCGTTTAGAAAATCCAACTTTTGATGTACCACATTTATAGCGGAGAGGAAACGATTTACCGCTTCTTGGGTTAGCACTATGGAATTTGATCCTTTACTTATTCTTATGCCTCTATCATGATTTTCACAATCAGTCAACTCAATTTTTATACAATGTCCTATGAAAACTTCATGCCCCAGCTGATCGGTATTTTTAAGCATGAGCCGAATTATATGCTCCGTTTTAATAGCGGAAATATCTCGCCATTCGTTAATATTAAAATGCAGACAACTTTCTCGAAGTGGAAGGTAAAATATTCGCACCACTGGCTCGAAGCAATTCCTCAATAAATTTCCCACTTCAAGTAAAGTTGTGCAATCGAGAAACATGGACCATGTTGATATTAAATCTTCTACTCCTATAAAACAAAGGGTTTCATTAAAAAGGCATAATTATTATCAGCATGATGATATTACCATTATACGCTTCAACTAACTTCGGCGTGGGGTTATCGATCCAAGTAAAGTTAGCATTCGTCTCATCATCATTCCATAAATAATCTTCTACAGCATGTTTTAGCATCGACTGTTGTTGAACATCCATAATGACTATTGTACTACGGAACGCTCGCAACTAATGAATTTCAACATAAATATAGCCCCGCTTTTATACGCGAGTTTGGTCACCGCCTTATAGTATTAAATTCATGTGTACGCACCTTTAACAACACGTTGAGGATAATCTTCTTCCTGTTTATCTATATTAGCAAACTAGCGGAAACCGCAAATATATATTTCCGTTATCATATGTTTTGAATCATTGTAGTTCTAATCGTTTCATATGCAACTTTGTACAACGATTGATTTGGTAGGTAAGTTAGTACCTATATCATTTTCTATTATAGTAACGCAAATACCCTTTTCTAGATTAAAATGGATCAAGTCCTTAATAATATACTACAATCGGAAGCGGAACAAGAAAACAATTACAAGAAAGCAAAGAATTCATTACTACAATTAGCCGCTAAGGACTTATTGCAGATTTGGAACAAGTTACCTAATGCTTATCAAAATGATCGTGAGTTACGTAATCGAATTCGTTGTAAAAAACATTGGAACCAACCGTGGCAGCGAATTCATATTGATGGACCTGCTCCTATAATGCCACACTGTATGCAGTGTATTCGAGGTGAATAAATTGCTTCATGCTCTTCTAATTTTATTCGTTCCTAGATCTAAATACGCATCATGTTGAAATAAACAATTAACGCTATTTGTAGAGTTATTTTCCTCCTCCACCTCTTATACATTGTAAACCCCCGCAAGCAAACAAGTCAACCCCCCCCCTCACGTCACCAACCGACCCCTACGCACCGCCGATCAGGTAGACAAACAGCATTACGTCCTCATAGCATACAACCATCCCAGAGGCGCCATCTCTTATACATATGTTACAAAATGCACGCCATCTTTATGCTATTTATCTAACACACACCCACATGATACCAGCCCCGACATACGTCACAACATGTCCGCCATCTACAATACCATTGGCCCACACGTACCCACGTGACTAAACCCTCGTCTACCATTCGCTGTGACGTCACTTCCTGGTCCCGTACATACATTGCTATTCTACTCAGGGACATAAATGAAATGTTGCTGCGTTTTAGTGAGGTGTACCAACGCGTAGACGCTTTGCGAAAAACGTATGACTCTATTTTTTAATTGTTTTTCTGTTCGCCATAGTGTATGTAGTGTAAATATTTAGTTTTAAGTTGTAAGTAAATACGTTCCGTGGACTAGGCCTACAGGGGACACTACGTTAAAAAAAGTTCGCCGTAACTCTACCTCCTGGGTGGTGTGGCTACGGGTTTGTATTGTACGTTTAAATTGTCATTTTCGATTTTACTTGTAATGTTTTTTCATTTATTTCTGTGTGATAATAAATATAATCAAATTTTGTAATGTTCTCGTTCATGCATTTCTGTGTGTTGTGCATTTGATAATAAATATAATTAAAACTTGTTTTGTTCATTTATAGTTTCTATTTCAGAATAGTGAAGTGAGAAAGATAGCCGCAATAAGAGAGAGAGAGAGAGAAGAGAGTATGAAGTCATCAATATTTTTAAATTATACTTCTTATTTTTGAATTTCCCTCCATTTGCCGCCATTTTGTTTTTTGATTAGTGCAATTTTAATTATTCATTACATATGTGTAATTAGTTTTCTTTATTGCGCTGCGAATTAAATCGATTAACCCACGAATTAAATTAATTAGAGGAAATTTTGGAAAATCAAACCGCCAATTAATTTAATTAGATCAATCAAAACAGCGAATTAAATTAATCGATCCGTGAATTAAATTAATTAGAGTAAATTCCTAGGAATTAATCTAATTAAATAATAATCAATTTAATTGATGACGTCAGCAATTAAATCAAATGTCAATAAAGCCCAAAATCGTACCAATTTTTAATTAATTAATCAAATCAATGTCCAAGTTCCAAGAAATTACTCAAATTTCCCAGAAATAACCAAATTAATCCCCAAAACACTCGCCCGTGGGCGACCGGGTCAATCAACTTAATTGACCTTGATTGACCCCGCGAATTAAAAAAAAAAGTGGAGGGGATACGGAGGATCTATTCTAGTTATCTGCTTTAAGTGAAATTCAAGTTAGCCCAGTGTATAAGAAAAAAAGGTCATTGTTACTTATCCTGATTGGCAAAGTAAATTTGGTGTCATAAATAAGGTTGAATGTGAGAAAATGTCCTTCATTTACTACTTCATTTAAAATTGGGTTTATCAATTTGACGTAGCGGAAAATTCTGTATACATCTTTTGTAGTTCTAAGTGGGCAGTACGAGTTTCTGAAGATGCCGTTTGGGTTTGTAAATTCGCCAGCAATGGTTCGTAAGCTTTCATTTTCAGAGATCTTATGAGAAGCGAAATTCGAATTTACGTAGATGACTTACTTATTGCGACCAAAACGTTAGCCGAAAATTTTGAAAGAGGTATTCCGAATAGTACAGTTCCATATATTACAGTTGAGGTTGAAGTTTTTAAACACAAAGTACGGACGATTTCAACAATTCGTTTACTTCTAGTTCTAACTCCGAAAGGGAATCTACTCATCTTTCCACTAATACACGACTCGCAAAAATCAATCTCTTGTACATTCTATTTTAGGCAATTCAAATGATATTTCATAGAGATTAGATCTTTTGCCTAATCCTAACAATTTGTCATCTCTATCAATTAATTTCACACAAAAATTCTCAAACATGACCTTAATATTTGACATTTCTAATTTTTTAACAGTTAACAAATTGTTCCTTAATTGTGGTACAAAAAGAACATTTTTCATTGTACACTTAATACAATTTTTACCAACAATACTTATTACCTCAATGTTTCCCATGGCTACTAGAAACTTCTCATTTTTAGCAATTGCGATCTTAAAAGGTTCCTTTACCATAACTATACTTGAAAAATAAGATTTTTTATTAATCATGTGATCAGTACAACCAGAATCATCTGTTCTTTATCTGATTTGTCTCAACGATTCTCACTGTAGCTACTTCTGAGATAATTGTTATAGCTGTTTGGAACTCCTCGACCTCTCTAACTACCTCGCTGCGTCCACGAACGTCGATATCTTCCTCGGTTCGCATTTAAAAAAGGAATCCAAAAATTAGAAAAAAGAAAACGAATATGGATAAGAAATTGGATAACACGTAGGCACCAACTTGGAGGATCAAATCTCCTCATGCAACAATTAGCTGCAGAAGATCCAATGGAATATCGAAAATTAATGCGAATGACACCAGAGAATTTTACTTTTTTAGTTGAGAGAATCGCTGATGACATTCAAAAAACAGATACCATCATGAGAGAAGCAATTCCAGGTAATATAAAACTGCAACCCTATCTTTTCTGGCTGCCGGACATAGCCTTAGAAGTCTTCAACAGTTTTACAGGGTCTCTATGCTAACAGCAATGACCCCCCAGGCTGAAATATGTGGTAGCCCCACCTGGGTGGTTTTCATGTACTGATGTCACACATAGGGTCATTCTCGCACTGATAAAAATTGTCATGAAAATGATCTCTCTCCCCAGGCTCAGAATCAAATTTAGTTAACGTGTTATACGATTTTGAGACATCCATAATACTACAGCCTGATCCAAAGCAATGTAGAGAAATCAGACATAAGGTCTTTTACCAACTGGAACAACTAAAAACACGAGGTCCTACCGCTAAGCTATGAGTCCAGTATATAGAAATGATTGACCTCGTTAAACTATTGTAACGGAAAGGCTCCAGACGTGACGTCGCCTTTGGCGCTCTGGAATTTTCTAGGCGCGCGATAGTGGGAATGTTTGCGACGTATCTGGTAATTACGTTCTGGACTTACATTGCTTGCGTGTATAAATGGTTGCGGACCGAACATCGCAGGCAGTTTACTACCGAACGAGATCGAGTACGGACGAAACATTGAGCGCGAAAATCTGATATAAATTGCGAAGTGTGATATAAATAGTCGATATAAATTGTACAGTTTTTATAGTGTTTTAGTTTTGTTTAATAAATATTGATATAAATCGAACCCGAATTTATAAATCACGTTACACTATTCATTCTGGCTGAGAGGACTGGAAATTGGGAGTTGCTCCTGGAAACAGTGTGGAGGATGCTGCGTTATTTTTATACCACAGGACACTTCCATTACTCAAAATGCGCTCTTCGGAATATGGTAAACTTTGCCTCTGAAGGTTGTTTTACTGTACGACGGACAGCTACCAAATTTTGGCCAGGGACGTGGACGTTGAACAGTTTCTAATGAGGAGCTGGATGCTGCAAGGGGGCCTGACTCAGGATCGTGGAGTACAAGAAAGTATTCAAACCAGATGGACCATGTCATTGACAGCAAGGCAGCCTGTTTGTGTGCAAATAGAAAACTACTGTGGTGTTTCAATTGTGACCTCCCATCAACATCATGAGCTATCAAGTGTATGAAATAAGTATGAATTAAGAGAGATACTAAGGATGTGCAATTCTTTGTGAAAACTCAATTGAATAACGAGATAATAGCTAGACATAGAGGCTACGATACGAACGCGAAATTGATCACCACGAGTATTTCCGCGGGAATACTCACCGCGAGCCCCGAAATGGCTTTATTGCGGGTGGTCAGCGCCAGGGACCCCAGTTTGGCCGTCCACCTATGCTGGCGATGTGCAGGAATCGGCCATTGGCGTGGAGCATGCCCGGCCCCTCAAGGAACCCTATTTTGTTCCCGATGCAGAGTAGTGGGGAGACTGTCGGCGCGGTACCTCTGCCGTCCGGATTTCAATATTCCGTCCTGTTGTCCCGTCCCCGAGTTTTTTGTTTTAGGTTACCGTGCCCACTCTTTTCTTTCCGAATAAAGGTGTGTAACGAAGCTTTAATCGTGCCTAATTATTTTCTCTCGTTAGGGAATTTGCCGGTAGGCCATATTCTGTTTTAGCGTTCCAGACCGCCGCCATTTGCTGGACCTGACAGCCGAACACCTGGGTTTATCACCTTCGACTGCGACTACTTCCGAGGCTACCGAAACCGACCGTCCGTCCGTTACCGCCGACATCGTCCAGACGCGAGATCGTCTGGTGGCGCCCGAGTCCGCCCGTCCGTTCCATGTACCGCCATTGTCCACCGTCGATTACCGCTGAATAAATTGAAATAAATACGTAAGGTGTATTATAAGACTAATTATAATAGACTCAAATAATAATCACACTAATTGGGTTTTAATTCCGACAGCACCGGCCTATGCGCGAACGGCCAAAGTTCGTCGCGTAAATTTTCGCGCCCGAAAACAATTACATCAGGTGTTTAAAATATCAGTGGCGCACTAATGAAAGGGAATATATATATATATATATATATATACACAATATGCCGCAGAGAATATGTACTCATAGATTCGGGAGTGTGGAGGGTACGTGATACTTCCCTGCAAAGAAAGACTTGATAACCTGTTCCTTAAACCCTATGTACCATCATGGTAGTTTTCTGGACGTGGGAATAGAAATGTCGTGTACTGAGGCCGGGCCATACCCCCAAACCCCGGGTGACACTTTCCCCTACAAAACGTTCAGCAAGGTGGCTTTTGGGAAAGCATTTGTCAAACCCTCTTTTCCTACAATAACCGTACACACCTGGGGTTTTAGAATACCCCCCCCCCCGGCACCTTCAGGTCCATTTCCCAGTGAAGGAGGTATCGGCAACTCTTTTCTTACAACCCTCAGTACTTTTATCATAGTTTTCTGGAAATAGCAATTGATGTGCTGTGTACTGTCCTCCATAGAGCGTTTAGCCTTCAAGACTCTCATTACAGTTAGAAGATTATCACATCTTCTTCCCCAATTATAAATTATGCGGAGAATGTAGATCCAGGAGGTCTGTATAGTGTAATACCTACTCCTCAACAAAGAAGGACCTGACAATCCTTTCCTTCGCATTACCCTCAGTTCTTTCATGGTGGTTTTGTGGAAATGACAATAGAAGTGTCGTGTGACTACTGCACTACTTATTAATATCTTATAATCCTTTTACAAAACTGTCATGGGTTAGGGTTAGGTGGAAGAGCAGGACGCGATATCTATCGTCGACTGAACCTCGCCCAGCTCTGTTATTTATAAGTGGTAGTTTTTAAGTAACATTATTATATATTAGCCAAGAGCAATAAAGACAATTTATTATTATTATTACTGAGGCAAAATCGTGGTG